ATTGTATAAAAAGAAAAAAAATCTTAATTAATTTTTGAAATAATTTCATATTTTAGCAAGTTGACTTTTGAATTAAGGATATAATTGTTATTTCTTTTATAGAATAAAACATAATTTATATGAATCTATACTATATTATAAAACATTTGATAAAAACTCTTAAAAATCATTTTTTATGCATAAAATATTGTTTATTAATACATATTACTTAAAACTCAAGATTACAAGTAGATTGTGCATAAATACTATGTATTAAAGCTTCATATCTGAATTCGTATAACTAATTGTAGATAAACATAATCAAATACATGAAAAACATCTAATTTTAAATATAAAAAATCTAAAATATAATTAGGATAATTATCGAGTTCTAACAGAATACTTAATTATTATTTTTATAGAATGTTATATTATTAAATCAAAAATAAATTATTTCATTATTAAACTTAAATTAAATTATAATAAAAATTAAATTAAAAAAATTACATAAAAAAATGAGAACTTTTAAATAGTTGATTTGATATCAACATTAATATATATTTTTTTCAAATTTTTATAATATCTTCAGATTATTCAAAAATAAAATCATTATTAGTTTCTTAAAAAACACATAAAATCGTATTATAACGTCGACAGAGACAAAGAATAAAATAGAACATCGAAATCGAGATATGTCTCGTTGCATTGCACGAGTACTCTTTTAGTATCTTAAAATAAAAATAAAAAACATCATTTTATATTTTTAACACCAATTTTGGAATTTTAAAATATTATAGGCAGTAAATTAACGAATTAGATATAAGATTTAAATAAGTAAATATTTAAAATTAAAATGGTCATTATCAAATTGACCCGTTCATACACTTTATCCAATTTTTTGTAAAATTGATTAAATACCTAATATATAACTAATTTGTTATTAAAATATTAATGCTTTTTATTATAAAAATCATAAAAACTTGACTCCAATTTTAAAGTGAATTAAAAGAATAATAAGTAATATATTATTTATTTAAAATATTTATAATACTGATCAAAGACATTATTAATATAAATTAAAATAATAAATAATCAGGAAAAGTGTTGCAAGTTGCAAATTGCAAGTTGTAATAATTTAATATGAAAGTTGGTTTGATGGATGGTTAGATTCAGTGCATCATCATCACAACTATTCGTATCTGACCAATCACATGCCTCCTGGTCTACCCCCACTCAACTTCCCTACCATCTATTTCCACTATTATACCATAGGATATTCTGATCATTTCATCTATTTAAATTAGTCTATTAATTATTTTGTATCTGAGTTTATTTAAATGTCATTATATTCATAATATTGTGAATCTGGTTTTTAAAAAAATTGAATTCCACCAGGTTAGCAAGTGGCACCGTTGCAATTGCGGATCTTATCGTCGCAATTGCGGACCTGACCGTTGTAATTGCGAACCTGAGTTGAATTTAATAATTTTTTTTTTCTGTGTTTTAGCAAGGTCCGCAATACTACGGATATGGATATTGCGAACATAGTGACATTTAGTAAACCCGGGAGAAGAATGACTAAAAGACTAATTTGAATTGGTAAATGCAACAAGTTGTATTTGAAACAAACTATCTGTCTCTCTCTCTCTCTCTCTCTGTCTCTCTCTCTCTCTCTCTATATATATATATATATATGCTATATTATAAATCATTTGACTAAAACTCTGAAAACTCTTAAAAACTCTTAAACTCGTTCATCCCTATCTGATTTCATCTCATATCTGAATTCGTGTAACTAACTGCAGATAAACACAATCAAATACAGGATAAACATCTCATTTTAAATATAAAAAATCAAAAATATAATTAGGATAATCATTGAGTT